GGCGGCTGTTCCGGTGTCTCCCGGAGGCGCTCCGGCTGGCCGTGCGTTCTGTGCATGCGCTGCACACAATGGAGCCCCTGATTGGCGGGCAGTAGGCGGGTGGGCGGGACCGCGGAGCAGCCGGGATGCTGTTTCTATGGAAACCTAACACCCCTTCTCCTCTGCGTGGACACACACTCAGACCCTGTGCGTCTGCCCTTGGCCTCTTCGGTCCTTTCTTTCTTTCTTTCTTTCTTTTTTTTTTTGATTTTTTGAGACAGGGTTTCTCTGTAGCTTTGCGCCTTTCCTGGATCTCACTCTGTAGCCCAGGTTGGCCTCGAACTCACAGAGATCCGCCTGCCTCTGCCTCCCGAGTGCTGGGATTAAAGGCGTGCGTGACCACCTCCCGGCTCGTTCCTTGCATTTCTGTTCGTTCTCCAGCTCGTGTAGCCCAGACTGGCCTCGTCCTGGCCAGGTAGCCAAGGATGACCTTGAACCCCAGATCCTCTGGCCTCCACCTTCTGAGTCCTGGGAGGACAGGAGCGTGCCACCATGCCTGACTTCTCTTTCTTTTCTTTCTCCCGTGCTGAGTGGGATAGCTCACACCTGCAATTCCAGCGCTAGCTAAGTAGAAGTGGGCCAACCTGCCACCTGCTGGAGTAGCCTGGGCTACATACCCTGTTTCGGGGGGAAAATAAATCAAAACTTAAATGAATCATCTCTGGCGACACGTCAATGCCTTTTCGTGGTGCTTTGGTAACAGAGGGAACTGGGCGCTGGAGCCACTGGACTCACAGCTCCAGGGGTCCTGACGTCCTCAGCTCCGCTGGCACTGTGTGCACGTGGCGCGCATGCACACAAACATAGACATTGAACAGTGGCTTAGGGAGGCAGAGGCAGGCAGATCTCTGAGTTCGAGGCCAGCCTGGTCTAAGGGGCAAGTTCCAGGACAGCCAGGGCTACACAGAAAAACCCTGTTTCGAATAACCAAGAAGAAGAAAAGTAGTTTAAAGGAGACAATTCATTTTAATTCACAGCTCACAGCCCAGGCCCCGGGGAAATCAAGTTATTAGGAGCTTGAAGCAGTAGGTCACAGCACGTCCATGACCCGGAAATGGCAACGCCTGCACGCTAGTCATCTCGCTTCCTCGATTTTACACAGGGTCCCTGCCCAAGGCGAGGGCTGTCCAGTCTTCCTCAGTGATGTCATCAAGAAAATTGCCCAGGAAGGCACAGGAGCCACCTCCGCAGGGACTCAGATCCAACCAGATTGACGGGTTACACTGATCATCATGGGTACCTACAAAATGAAAACAATGCCATCCTGGCGCTGTGTAGGTAGATCTGCAGGCAACAGGAGGGCAAGACAGGGGCGGTCCTGGAGCAAGGTGAGGTTGCACCAGCAGAATCTTCAGGCTCTGGCTCTAAGTGAGGGTGTAGCAGGAATCTTAAAAGTTCTTATTAACAAAATCAAACCTGAGTCCAGTTATTGGGATGAATACTGGAAGAGCAGAGCAGAACAAGCCACAGCTACCTCACCTCGCCAGTTCCTCAGCTGGTCCTGTTTCCTCAGGCTGGAAGTTTCTGTGTCCTCATCCCAATAGCTCTCAGCTGAACTGCTGCTTGAAACCCTGAAGCTTAACCAGCTAAAAGTTTCTAGTTTCTGGTCTTCACACCTTATATATCTTTCTGTTTTTTTTGCCATCAATCCCTGGGATTAAAGGTGAGAGTCACCATGCCTGGCTGTTTCCAATGTGGCCTTGAACTCACAGAGATTCAGAGGGATCTCTGTCTCTGGAATGTTAGGATTAAAGGTGTGAGTGCCACCATTTTCTAGCCTTTGTATCTAGTGGCTGTTCTGTTCTCTGACCCCAGATAAGTATTAGGGTGCACAATATTTTGGGGAACACAATATCACCACATGAGGGTTGTTTTTTTGTTTTGTTTTGGTTTTTGAGACAGGGTTTCTCTGTGTAGCTTGTGCCTTTCTTGGAACTCATCTGTAGACCAGGCTGGCCTTGAACTCGCAGAGATCCACCTGGCTCTGCCTCCCGAGTGCTGGGATCAAAGGCGTGCTGTCACCACCGCCTGGTGAGTGAGGGATTTTTTTTCCTTTTTTTGTTATTTATTTATTTATTTTAATGCCAAATGCTGTTTATTGAAGGAGGGAGGAGGTCTTAAATACAGGCTTACAGCACAATGGGAGAACCCCGGAGGGCAGAAGTTCACTACCAATGTTTTACAATCTTGCATCTAAGCTGTTAACACCCATTATGCAGGATACACAGACAAGGAACTTCCCTTAAGCATTCAGGAGGGTGAGACCTGGCAGGGAATTAGCATAGGGAGGATATCAAGGTGAAGATCAGCAAGCCAGGCAACAGTTACCCAAAACGGGGGACAGGGCCCTACAGGTCCCCCTTTCACTAGAAAATGAGCTTCTGACTTAGGTTGTGTGGGACGTCAGCAGGTCACCTTACCCGTCATGGAGACTCCTGCCGAGGCCACACAGGCCCTCTGTCTTAGGTTGGTGAGCGCCCTCCAGGCATTACCCACCTTTGAATACTCATTATCATACAGGCTCAATCGTGTGTGAGCTGTAGAGTTAACTGCTGCCAAAGATCTCAAAGTGGCTCTGGGCTTGCAATCTGTGTGTTTGATACAGAAGAGTGAGGGATTTTTAAAAAAATTATCTTTATTTTATATGTATGGTGTTCACCTGGGTGTATATATGTACATTGCATGCATGTCTGGTGCCCCTGAGAACAGAGGTGTTACAGACAGTTATGAAGCACCATGTAGGAGCTAAGAATTGAACCAGGGTCCTCTGGAAAACAGCCGGTGCTCGTAAGCACGGAGCCATCTCTTCAGACCCTAAGTGGGAGTGATGCAAAGTGGAGAGCGACCTGAACCTCGGGCTGCCACGTGCATGTTACACGTGCTTCAACACACAGGGTGCATGCAATGCACACACAACACAAGGACCAGTGTGAACACCGGCTGATAAGGGGCTCTTGGAAGCGGGTTGGGGGTCCTGGAAGGACTTGTGGGAGTCAGTCCTCTCCCATCAACATGTGGGTCCTGGGAACTGAACTCGGTCTTCAGACTCGGTGGCAGGTGCTTTTAGCCTCTGAGGCAAGGCGCCTTGACAACCCTGATGTGTGTGCCGGCATGTGTGTGCACAAGTGTGTGTGGGTGCGCACGCACGTAGTGTGTACCTGCGTGCGAGCATGTGCATGAGTTCATGCACAAGTGTGTGCGCGCATGGGTGTACATGCATGTACGTGCATGTGAGTGCGTGCGCGTGTATGTGTGTGAGTGCGCGTGCCTGAGAGTGTGTATTTGTGGATCTGGTATTTTGTCTGCTGCACCACCACCTGCATGCAGTACTCATAGCAGCCAGAAGAGGGCGCTGGAATTGGGGTAAACATGGCTGGGAGCCCCCTTGCGGGTGAGTGTGTGTGTGTGTGTGTGAGTGACAGGGTCCATCTCCAGAGTGTTGCGGGCATGAGCTTCCACACCTGGTGTCTGCAGCTCTGGGAATGGAACCCAGGGTTACGTATGTGCCAGGCCAGGGCTCGACCCACTGAGCCCCTATCTGAGGTCAGGACAGCAACATCAACACTGATGGTCGGGTTCTGTATCACACTGGGGAGTCCTCATCCCTCCTGGTTTTCTCTGTGTGCATGTGTGGGGTGGCATTTGAGATGTGGTCTCACTCAGTAGCCTCGGCCTCCCCTGTGCACATATGGGCCTCAGTGTGGGACTTCCCCCCTTGCTTGAGAATTTTCATCCTAATCTGTATTCATGTCTGCTGTTTCCCTGTGTGTGTCTTTTTTCTTTTCCTTTCAGATGTTTCCATTTGTCACCTGTGAGGAATCAGTGCCTGAGGAGGCTCTCTCATCTTTAGGGACTTGGCTACAGACTACACAGAGATTCACGACTTGGGGCTGGAGAGATGGCTCAGTGGTTAAGAGCACCGACTGCTCTTCCAGAGGTCCTGAGTTCAGTTCCCAGCACCCACATGGTGGCTCACAACCATCTGTGATGAGATCTGGTGCCCTCTTCTGGCCTGCAGGGACACATGCAGGCAAAACACTGTATACATAATTTAAAAAAAAAATGAGATTCAGGACTTGGGAGTTCATGTAGCAGAGTTGGGTGTGGTGAGGTGATGTGATATGGACCATCTTGGGGGAGTCTAGGCAGGGTGTGAAGCCGTCCACGTCACACCCACAGTCTAGGCAGGGGGTGAAGCCGTCCACGTCACACCCACAGTCTAGGCAGGGTGTGAAACCATCCACGTCACACCCCGACTCAAGAGCAGAAAGACGACTGTACCCACCTCCCCTTGCTTGTTTCCCCTCAGCCCCACTTCCCAGGGAATGTTGCCACCCATGGGTATAGCAGGTCTCTCAGACCATCAGCCTGCTGTGGTTATCACTCTATATAAATAAAACACTGATGGCCAGTGACCAGGCAGGAAGCATAGGCGGGACAAGGAGAGAGGAGAATTGGGGAAACAGGAAGAAGGAGGGGGAGACACTGTCAGCCACCGCCAGGACAAGCAGCATGTAAAGACGCTGGTAAGCCACGAGCCACGTGGCAAGGTATAGATTTATAAAAATGGGATAATTTAAGATAAAAGAACAGTTAGCAAGAAGCCGGCCAAGGCCATACAGTTTATAAGTAATATAAGCGTTTGAGTGATTATTTTATACATGGATTGTGGGACTGTGGGGCTTGAGGAACCTGGAGAGAAGCCCTCCAGCAACAAATGGCGCCCAACAGCTCGAGTTTCCACCTTAAACCTGGGAATATTTAATAACCAATTCTAAAGAGAGCCAAAACCAGGTTCCTGCTTCATGTCTCATAGGGCAGCTAGACGCCGCAAAACGCAGGTTTGAACACCGGCGGGTTCCTGGAGTGTGCGTTTGACCGGCAGTATGGCTGGAATGAGGCGTCTGCCAGTGGCACATTATGCTGTGTAGTAGATTTAGTCTTTACTAGTATTAATAATAATAATAATAAAAAAGGTTTCTGGGCTACACGCTGCTTTGATAAAAGCATAGACCTACTATTTCTGAGACTTGATGACTCCCAGAGCTGGAGAAAACATACCACTGCCATGTTGAAAAGCTGAAGGGGGCTGGAGAGATGGCTCAGAGGTTAGAGCACTGCTTGTTCTTCCAAAGATCCTGAGTTCAATTCCCAACAACCACATGGTGGCTCACAATAAGCCACGTAAAGATGGCTATCACACAAAATGAATCTGGATTATGTTGTCTTTGATATTTGTAACTAAAGAAAAACATTTGATTGTAAAAGCTGTTCAGTTATGCCAAAATATGAATTTTAAAGGTACCTTGACTTCAAAATTTGGATATAAGGATATGTTACTTTGGAAAAGAGGTTCTGCTTATGTTTCCACAAAAAGCCAGAGGCTATGGATTTGTTCCAGATTAAGATACATCAGATTTGGGCTGGAGAGATGGCTCAGCCGTTAAGAGCACTGGCTGCTCTTCCAGAGGACCCAAGTTCAATTCCCAGCAACCACATGGGGGCTCACAACCACCTGTAATGAGATCTGGTGCCCTCTTCTGGCTTGCAGGGACACATGCAGGCAGAATACTGTATACATAATAAATAAAAATTAAAAAAAAAAAAAGATACATCAGATTTGACCAGCCAAGACCCCCTGAAAGGTCTCCGATGACACCATGGCCCAGATGATCCAACATCCAGAACGGTTTCAAGGCAACTGGCTCCCCACAATATAGCCTCAAGGACTACCCCATAGGCCTAAAATTTTCTTTGCGTCCCCATAAGATACAGCGCCCCCCTCCAGCAGGAAGTAGTAAGAGATGCTACGCCCAAATTCCCAAATATACCAAGCTGGCTTTAGACGTGGAATTGGCTCACTCCCCATCTAAACCCAGACATATTGCTTTAAAAAAAATAGTTAAGAGATTCTTGTGTCCCAAATCAAAAGAGTCCTCTGGTGTGGGATAGAGAAAAACCAATATTTTTATTTAAAACAGGTTGATTATGAATGCGATCTCTTTCTAAAAAAGAAAAGGGGATATGATGTAGATATATAGGATATAGAGCTGATAAGAAAAAGGGTAGATTAATGAACCTACTTTTAAAGAACAACAACTTGTTTAAAATGTTTTACATTAGGGGCTGGAGAGATGGCTCAGAGGTTAAGAGCACCAACTGCTCTTCCAGAGGTCCTGAGTTCAATTCCCAGCACCTACATGGTGGCTCACAACCATCTGAAGTGAGATCTGGCACCCTCTGTGTTCATAATAAATAAATAAATAAATAAATCTTAAAAAAAAAAAAAAAAAAAAGGTTTAGCCAGGCGGTGGTGGCTCACACCTTTAATCCCAGCACTGGGGAGGCAGAGCCAGGCGGATCTCTGTGAGTTCCAGGCCAGCCTGGGCTACAAAGTGAGTTCCAGGAAAGGCGCAAAGCTACACAGAGAAACCCTGTCTCAAAAAAAATAAAAAATAATAATAATAAAATGTTTTACATTGGTATAAATTTTAGTTTATTGATACAAACTTCAAGTTAATTTTGTTATACTGTATATATATTTCTATTCTTGTTTGAGGTATTATGTTTATGTAACTCATTTAAAATTGTAATGGATAGGGCTGGAGAGATGGATCAGAGGTTAAGAGCACTGACTGCTGTTCCAGAGGTCCTGAGTTCAATTCCCAGCAACCACATGGTGGCTCCCAACCATCTGTGATGAGATCTGGTGCCCTCTTCTGGCCCGCAGTCATACATGCTGTATATATAGTAAATAAATAAATGTAAAAAAATAAATTAAAAAAAGAAAATCCAATAGTAATAGTAATAATAATAATAAACCTTGTCTCAAAATAAAATAATTTAAAAAAATAAATAAAATTGTAATGGATAATTAAGAACTAGATTAATAATTAGTCATCTATCATAATCATATTTATAGCCATGTTAGTTAAGTCTTCTAGGTATACATAGATATATTTCAGATAGGTAGTCTTCAAACACTTCAAAGACCTACAGAATATGGCATTTAAAAGGTTTTAAAAATTTAGATGTTCTGGACAGTGAGACATGTCTGCTCCTGACAGCACTGGATTTATTTCGGAGAGGAAGATGGACATCAAAGACACACTATATGGAGTTTATCTTCACCTTGGCAAAGATAGCCATTCGGGCAAGAAACTGTTCTTGCCTAGACTGCTTGATTGACTGGACATGCAGGACCCATGGAAGGATGACCACTGAACTTTGATTGGTGAGATGGTCCTTCAGGTTCCTGCTTTGCAGAGAAAACTGCCAGACATTCTACAGGACACTGAAAAAAAATGACGGAGAGAATCTAGCCCTGTGAGCTGAAGACAGATGCTCCAACTTTACAAAGGAACATTAGATGACTTTCCAGGCTGTCAGCTGTCTCTGACTACCCTGCAAGACTCCCAAAAGTTACATATATCCTTCTCCCATCTCTCAGGTAATATTATATCCTTCTGAGGACTTTGATGTGGTTGAAAACTAGATAGTTGTAATTTCCTCAGTTATGGTAAAAGATACGTTAGATATAAAACCTTAAACTCACAAATATAAGATAGATAGGACATCTTCTTTAATATTGTAACAGTAATTCTTGCTC